AGCAAAATTTCATCAGCATAATCTAGATGGCAGGATGTCTTCCACAGTCCGTTTCACAAGACACTGTCTTTTGCGAACTAGCGAACTGTGGACCCATCCTACCTGTAGATACGACCTCCAACTGTTTAAGAGTTTACCTTTACCTCAAAGGTCGGCACCCACTAAAAATGGGTGTCAATAGGCTGGGATGACTGCCCTTTTAATAAAAAAAAACTCATTTGTTTGTCAATCTCTTTTTTTAAAGGATTTGATATTTGATAATGACGTACCGGCGAGATACTAATAATGCAACGAAGCGTTAATAAAGAAATATAAACACATTTAGTATTTTACACTGTTTCAGTAACAGTATGAATTAAAGGACGTAGTAAATGTAGTTATTTATTTTCAGATTGCGTTATATTTTTTATCTCAAGCTTCGGTATATCTGCTGGACTTCATCGTCTCTGGTCACACAATGCATTTAAGGCGAAACTTCCATTGCAAATTATACTGATCGTTTGCACATCTTTAACATTTCAGTATAGTGCTTTAAATTGGGTCAGAGATCACCGATTACATCACAGGTAAATTATTATATTTAAGTCGACACAAATAAGCAAGATCGTTTAGATTATTTGCTGCCAAACAATATGTTTTTCAAACTTCTTTCTAAAATATTCAGGGCAAGATCGGCGTCTTGACGGTACTGATTCCCATTCTGAATTTTGCCCTAAGTATTATCAAGTGATCTTTTGGCAGGTATACCGATACAGATGCAGATCCACACAATGCGGCTAGAGGGGTTTTCTTTTCACACCTAGGCTGGTTGCTCGTCAAGAGGCATCCGGAAGTAAAAAGACGCGGAAAGTTTACTGAAATGAGAGATGTCAACGCAAATCCAGTTTTGAGGTTTCAAAAGAAGTAAGACTTCAGTTCTGTTTTACTTTTAAAATATTATAGCTAGGGAGATGGCAAATTAAAGTTCGCATCAATACGACAAAATTTCTTGATGAATTAGGGCAGTTCGTAGATGCGTTTTTAAGCTACCGGGGTTTAAATCTGTCAAGAAAATCGATACTAAATAATTTTTGCTCGTGTCTACTTCTGGGGTGAATGGTCAATACCATTTAGATAACGAAGAAAATCTATAAGGCAGACACATCCAAGTCTCTGAATTATCACAGGAGGTACATGTAAAAGCTCTAATCATGATCATGATGATCACGATGAATCATGTGGTCGTAGGTGTAACTGGACCCAATCCATTTATTAAAACCCTCTGAATACAAAATAAATGGCAGACATTTTACTTACTGACTTTTACAGTTCGTTGAAGGTCGCGAATCTGAGCAAAAGCGGATTATGGCTAGTTAATGGAATTATTCGTAGTTTTTTAAAAATAAAAATGTCTTACATTTTTATTGTTTTGAAATTATTATTGACCTGCGAACCTAATATGAATTCCGTTCCGAAAACTACGATGGTGGCAGACTATTTTTCTGTGGTCCTTCGCAGAGTTTTTATACGAACACTGCAGGTCTGCCAACAATTATTCATTTCATATAATTTTTTTTTAATTATAAAAAAATCTTTAAAAATTAATTAATTTAAAAGTCAGAGTCCTAGATAAACCTTTTTGATTTTTACACATCAGCTTTAAAGGCAGACACGAGCAAATGGTATAGTATACCTGTTTTTTTTTTTAATTTTTAAGGGGCTGTCAATTGAAAACGCAGCGCTACCATGGTGGCAGACGTGGTCCTTAATATTTATTATCGTTATTAAAAAAGTCTGCCACATGAGCAAATCATATTATACTTAGATATTTTGCTCGTCAGCTTCCTAGGTATTATGCACGTTAGAATACCAAATTCTCAATTCATAAATAACTTCCTTTTTTATTTTTTTTTATTTTTGGTTTGACTGAACTTGATATCTTTGCTATTGCCTGACACAGAATAATAGTATAATTAAAACAAAAAAATAATATAGTACTTTGACAAATATTACTTTCAGATGGGCAGTACCCTTTATTGGTAGTTTATGTTTTATAATACCAACTTTGATACCTATGTACTTCTGGAACGAGGGACTAAACGTGGCGTGGCATCTTAGTCTTCTCAGATACGTTGCATCTCTCCACCAAACACTTCTAGGTAATAGTTATGCACATTTCGCAGGAACTAGGCCATATGACAAGCGCATTCTACCCACAGATAATAGATCACTTAATTATGTCATCCTGGGGGAAGGATTCCATAATTTTCATCATGCATTCCCCTGGGATTATAGGTCTGCAGAATTAGGAACATTGTTTTTTAATCCGACTACTTGGTTTATCGAATTATTTGCTAAGATTGGATGGGCGTACGATCTAAAGACTGCGTCCAAATCTGTAATAGAAGGCAGGGCTCAAAGAACGGGTGATGGTACCCGGGTTCAAAATAAGTCTGATTTAAACGTTAATTCCTAATAATTTATTGAACTAATTATGCATACGAAAGAGATTTACGTCGTCCGTTATATCTTTTTGTATCAACATATCCATAAATTTTACAAAATCCTATAAGGTTATGAACTGAATTGTGATATTATCACTTACCTATGATAAATGATTTGTAATAGTACCTATTGCATCAACTCGTAGAAATATAAAATATAGTAAAAACTGCAGTTTTCTTGAATCTACCCTCTTTATGACTATTTAAATCCAGATTCTGAAACGCGAGACTTCAGTCTGATACCATAAAGCGGCGATATGATTGAAACCGTTATAATAAGGCAATAATAGTAATATCCGATTATTTTACGATTTTATAATTTAGTCTTTACGCAAATGGAACCTAGAAAATCAAATAACACGTGAAACTAAAATTTTCTTGGCTAAAATACACAGGTAGTAACGAATAAGTGGTAAGAACTGTCAGTCTATTGAATATTTTTTTATGTTTCCTTTGAACTTTTACATACATTTCCGAAACTAAGCAACAATTTCGACAGCTTATAACCCAGTCAGTAAGTCGTAAAACGGTCGACCCTGCAGTAGGTATCAAAACTTGATTTGCAGGCAATTTTTTGAATCTCTCTCAACTCCGTCATCTAACTACTTTTTAACTAAAATGATTAGGACTTAAATTGGTGTTCATGCTATTTATTCTCTTCATTTTCTAATAATATTTTAATTATCTTATTTATTAGTTTTTTTAGAGCTTGATTGTGTGTAATTGAAGTTTTTTGTAATAATAATAAAATAACTACCCCATTGATCTCTATGTCTTTTTCTTAGAAGCGATATTTAAAATTGTACTCAATATATCAATGGGTCTGTAACATATAAATGATTCAAGCTCATTCGACTTCAAATGACAATCAGTTTGCTGAGTCACAATATTTAAGCGCAAAAATAAAAAATAGCATGAAAAAAGTAAAAGCTACTTGGAAAATAATAACGGAAGAATCGGGTAAAACGTCTGACAAACGAACAGATTATATGTTAGAAGTTCAATGGAAATTAATAAACCCCGAGGTAGCTTCTACTTTTTTACAAATGTAACGCTGAATACGATCAAGTCTCTGGATTCTTCACCTATTGCTGCTATATCATTACTAGAAGAAAGTGTAATATTAAATATCAAATGTAATGATATCGTTAAAACATTCAAGCTTATTAATTTAAAAAAAAGTAAAGATATATGTCAACAGTCATTTTAAATTCCGTTATTAATGTAATAAGGTCTGAATTGTCTATAATTTTTAACAGATGTATCGATTGTGGAGTCTTTCCGGACGAAATGAAATTAGGTAAGATAAGTCAAGGCTTTTAGTGAGTCTGATCCGTCAAACTTTAGACATGTTTCAGTGCTGCACGCGTTAAGCTAAATTTTTGAAAAGATAATGCTGGGCCTACTTTCTTTACATTTTAATAAAAAATAACTTTTGCATAATAAACAGGTTTTACTAAGGGTCGCTTCACAATCGATGCCGGTGTGAAGTTGATTTCACACACATTTAACGCCTGGAAAGTATCATATGATGGGATCGGTGGCTTTTGTGACCTGTCAATATGGCGTTGATGGCAAAACTTCCAGCCTGATGAATTTATATTTAAAGAGAAGGATCCAAAAAGTGAATGTCAATGGAGCCACTCCGGGTTCACATGTGTCAATCGGCGTCCCCCAAGTCTCGACTGTCGGGCTTTTCTGGTTTCCGATTTACATAAACGACCTCCCATTCTTTGTCAATGGAGTTCATGAGATGTTATTGTTGGCTGACGATACTTCTTTTCTATTTAAAAGGAATAGGGTTTATAGTTAACTGGTTTAATGTTATTTTGTTTATGTAACAGGAGGCTCATCTGATGTTAAGTGATATCGTCGCCAATGGACATTCACATTGCCAAAAGACTCGCAAGTGCGTTGGCGGCCTGTCAAGAAATTGTACGGTCCTTTCTTGAAGGACACGAAGTCGAATTCGTTCGTAAAAAACAGTAGGCAGCTGGTTCCATATAGTGGTGATGCCTTATGAAGCGGAAAACGCGCAAACTTGGGTCTCCTTGGGGTTAAATTGGCCTAGATTTAGTCTACCCCAGTCCGAGACTCCACTTAGCACAGTTTTTTTTTGTTTCTTTCTAGTATGGAGACGCGAATTTGCGGGTTTACCTAGTTTCTTTTTTTTTAACAATCTGTAAGTACCTACTATGTCTATATAATGACTTATCAATAATTGACACTCAAAGTATAGGAAATTTTTAAAGACTTTAGTCATACAAAAGTTGTACTAAAGAATGTCAACTTGTTCATAAAGGTTGTTTGTTTCTTTAAAGGCCAAATTTTATTTATAATAAAGTATTATTCAAACGAAACGAATGCAATACAATACATTGATATTACTAATAGAAAATAATAAGGAATACTACAAATAATACTTTTAAGCTTTTTGTGTTTATAAACATATTTTACGTTTTAATAGATGTTTTTGTTTACTATACTTTTGAATTTTTATTTCTGGGTTTTAGAATTATGGCACCCAATTCTAAAAAAGATGTCACCGATATCGAGTTTGTGGGAACAGAAGAATCAAAATTGGAGAAATTGGTGGGTCCGCAGGCCGGGCCGTGGAAACAAATTCAAATTCAAAAATCATTTATTCACGTAGGTAACACAATGTACACTTGTGATTCGTCATTAAAGAAATACATATTATGCTTCTAATTTTACATTTACTCCATTCTCAAATCAAGGGCGTAGAACGGAAGAGAAGAACTGCATAACTCTCCCCACTCTTTTTAATCGCCATGTTTTTTTTTTTTTTTTTTACACAACGTTTGTAAGGAGCTGCAACCATTACACCATGTTCCACATGACATTTTAAGTAATTAATAATAATAACATAAATAAAAACAAAGACTTGTCCCCTATCAGCAGGAGGCATGGTGAAATAGGAGCACGCACTTACATTCTCTTGGGAACAACACGCAAACACATAGTCGAAATAATTAACATCACCGCATAAACGTGAGATAGTATATGGAAATTTAGTAGTTTTTGGATATTTTCACCTTGCGGCTTTGTATGGACTCTACCTCGGTTCGACTGCTGGTCCAGCATGGTCTACGATTATTTTTCGTACGTATTTTAATATTTCATAGTTGCTACATAAGGAGCGCTCAAAAATTCTGAAATAATTAGGTATATAGTTTTTAAAATACGTTTTAAGGTAGCCTAGCAGCCCTGCGATTCTGTAACTCACTTTTCGAACTCACACAGCGGTTTTCGCATCGGCGGTCGCTCTCAAATCAGTCGTGAAGCAGTCATTTTATGATTTGGCATTCTGATAAACAATAAACTACAAGCTCCCACCTTTTCAGAATGCCAAATCATAAAATGACTGCTTCACGACTGATTTGAGAGCGACCGCCGATGCGAAAACCGCTGTGTGAGTTCGAAAAGTGAGTTACAGAATCGCAGGGCAGTAGGTTTTTAAATCAAAAACCCATCTATAAAACTTGCGCCTAATATTAAGCTACTATTCGGCCATTTTGCCTATTTTAAAAAGTCGGCTCTTAGCGCATATTCCAAAGGCCGAACCACTATTTTTAAAATAAGGTTTTTACCTCATTTGGTTTTACCCAAAAAAAAAAAACTATAACAGAAACTTTATGCCTTTATGCTATCAACACAGTAATTATAATTAAATCCTTTTTTCTCTTTTCAAACGGAAATAAATGAACAATTGAAAATAGTAGTTTGGCGAGCTACCTGGTTTGTTACTATTAATGCAACGAATTATAAATACCTACATTAATATGTAAAAAATATTATACTCTTTTTCAGTAACAGAATTAAATACGAAACGCATCTACCATATATGAAGCATTCATGAAGCATTATAGGACCTTGTATTTTTTTTCAGATTGTGTCACATTTGTTTTCGCACTTTTTGGCTTAACTGCTGGAAGTCATCTCTGGTCATACAATGCAGTTAAGGCAAAACTTCTCTTGCAAATTATACTGATCATTGCAAGTTATTTAACATTCCAGTATAGTGTTTTAAATAATGTCAGAGATCACCGATTACATCACAGGTAAATTATATGTAAGTTGACACAAATAAACGTCACGCAGAAAACAAGATCAATCAGATTTTTTGCTGCCAAACAATATGTTTTAAAGTTGTTTCTAAAATATTCAAGGCAATATTAAGTTTCGAGACATCACTGACTCCCTGATTAAGTCAGAATTTTACCCTAAGTATTATCAAATGGTCTTTTGGCAGGTATACCGATACAGATGCAGATCCACACAATGCGACTAGAGGTATTTTCTTTTCACACCTAGGGTGGTTGCTCGTCAAGAAGCATCCGGAAGTAAAAAGACGTGGAAAATTTACAGACTTGAGAGATGTTAAAGCAAATCCAGTTTTGATGTTTCCACACAAGCCGTTTAAACAATGTTTTGGGAGGGAACAAGTTCTTGATAGATTATAGACATGGAGACTCTGGCTATGCTTGCACTCCTTATTTATTTACACCAGTACTAAATCCGACTACTCGTAAAGAAAAAGCATACAATTAGAACTCGCATTTAGGTTATTTTAATAAATAAAACATTTTTAATACATTGTTCTTTTTATTTTTAAAACATTTTTATTACATTATCTTATTTATTTTAAAGTGACTACTAAAGTCTTCACTAGAACGTCGGTCTGTAATTCTAAATTTATCATTACTTGGCTGAGTATCTCGGCTAAATTTGTATTCTTTTTGAAGGCGCTTATTTCCCAGAGCTCAAAAGCTATGCATATCTGCATATGATGCTTCCCCGAAACTAACACTATCTTTAGTTGCTTTCTGTAACAAATAAGAGAACATTAATTTAAGCTCTGTCTATGAACAAATAGAAAACAATTATATGTTTTATTAAACTATGTAGTCATTTTTTTTGCGATACTGGCCCTTGTTAAAATGTTGTTTACTTCTCTGTTATTTCGCTTCAAGCCTTCATTTTCTCCTTATTTGTGTTCGTATCTTTGTTTTTAATTATGGACAGATAGGGTCGTAATATATATATAGTAGACCGAGGCGAATCGGATCACTTTTTCTTTGAGGTTGAGTAAATCATACTAAAGTGCTATATAATGTTATTTTTATTGATAAAATCGTAAGAAGTAACAATTACCTATGAAATAAATATTTGAAAACTTAAATCATACATATATTCTCTTAATTACCTATTAAAAACTAAAAAAAGGAAAATATCCGATTCGCCCCAACTTTCGGGGAGAATCGGATCGTGCACAAAATATAACAAAATTTTAAGGTATAGTGTTAAATAACTTTGGAATCAGTAAAAATATATAATATTAAGATCAATTTTAATTATTGGCACATAATTCACATTTATATGGTCCTTTTTTTCTGTTAGCTCGTGAACGGTACTGAAAAACTCTTAGCAGCTTTACGCAAGGTCAACTCTTTGTTCTGGACTTAATTAACAGCCTCTTTCATTTTTTCTTGACACCATTCTCCGGCGGTCATGAAATAAATATGAATCAATAACCTCAAACATGTTATAAATCAGTTTAAAAGTATTATCCAATTCGCCCCTAAGGATATGATCCGATTAGCCCCATAATTAAGACTTTTGAAATAAATATTTTAGACGTTAACCTCTAAGATTATACTTAAAAGCGAATTGGTTCTTCAGTATCAACACCTTGCTTAACAATATAAACCAATGTAGTTAAATTTTAAGACAAATCCGTCATATGACACAAAGAAATCGTAAGTACGTAACCTTAGATGAGCGCCAAATTGCGACACACACAAAAAACCGAGTGGCTGACGAGCGGCATTGCCACTGATCCACAAGCGCGATCTAAATACTGCTTATGTCGGGAGGTGCTCAGTAAATGGAGAGACACAAAACGCCGGTTGAGTACATTCTATGTGAATGTGATATTTGAATTATCAACAGATTTCTTATTTTGATCCGATTCGCCCTGTGATCCGATTCGCCTCGGTCTACCTATCTTAAAAGCTGCTGTAATCGAACACAAGAAACGGATTTAAATTCAACAAAAGCAATGAATAACCATTTATGGGAAGCTCTATCTTGTTATTAATCACAACCCATGTTATCTCTGTTAATTGGTTTATTCTTCACAAACAAGAGTAATTAATTTATATTCTCATAGAAACGCTAAAAAAACACATATATATCTGGTCTTAAAAGTCTTGTGCCTATGGCTTAACAGGGGAATAGTTATACCAACGTAGTAACGAGTTTATAAGAAATTATGATCTCTTTATTCTTTGCTTATTAAATTGGCCCTATAATATACCTATATTATATAACTATAATTACTCGGTTTGCTGATGGATGCTCTAGAGACTATATCTTTTTCTAATGAGGAGACTTCATAAAATTTCTACTTCAAATACACGGTCATTTGCTAACCCAATGCTTTAAGTATTTTTTATTTAATTATTAACACTTCGTTGCATACATAAATATAATACAGCTGACATAATTGAACGAAAAGTAGGGCAACTGGCGGCTTTATCGCTTTCAAGCGATCTCTTCCAGGCAACCAATGTGAGAACAAAGAAATTAGATAGGGCTCTTGCCCTATTTGTATAAAAAACATAAAACATAAAATAGACGAAACGAATGGAACAAGACTAAACAATTAAAACATAATATGTAAAAACAGGACAATATTAAAAAAAAGGGACATGAATCACGATAATTTAAGATTAATTTCACATAAGTTAGTACGAAAGTTAGGGATACGATTGTGGGATACAAAGTGAATTCCATAGCCTCAATGTTTAGTAAGACTGATACATATTACCATTTAGAATTAGCTCAGCGCTAAGTCAAGAATTTATTGGATTTTGAGGTACGAGTCTAAGGGCTCCCACACAAAACTGCGAATTCGCATCGCATCGCAAATATCTGCGAATTCGCACGAACGCAACGCAAGAATTTCCGATCTGCTTCGCATCGCACATTCCTGCGATTTTACGTCATCCTTGGTGACACCATTTTAGTCCGCTCTGAGACAAACAATTAAAATGTCAATAAATAAATTTTGTTTTACTTTACCTGATAGTCAGTCCCAGCATTTCCAAAGGCATAACAGGAATTCTTCCCTTGTACGATCGTTTTTGAAGGCATGGTGATAATATACTCAAAAGCTCTTCAAATGAAGATATGCTCATTCTAAAATAATCAAAAAATTTATCTTCAGTTCTCAACGCATAGTACTTTTGAATAAAATAGTTCCCATCAGGGTTCATAATCGTAATGAATGTATGAACCCAGAATCTTCTTTTTCTTTTATATCTATTTAACAATAACAGCAGTGCAATATTTTTTTTGCGATCCATCTTACGCTTCTTAAAAACACGTTCAGTACGGATGGCTTCGAAGGAATGGTCGCCCTACCAAACGGTTTGACGCACTAAATCGTATCGCAGAAATTCGCATCGCATCGCATCGCAGTTTTGTGTGGGAGTCCTTACTTCGCATTTTTGAAGTTATACTTCTTTAGGCGCGTTATGAAAAATTGATGAGAGTGAAATTTTACGATGCGCGCGCACCGTGACACAAAATTAACAGAATGAAGTTGCCCACGGAAGATGCTACGGCATTGGACATAATTTAAAAACAACATTCGAATAATAATAGAATTTATGTTACACTTAATGTAAGAGAATAATAATAAATATTTATTTATTTAATTTATCAAATGTAAACTGAACTTTATTGACTATAATGACTCCTTTTCCAGTCTTTGATTATTTAATTGTAATTAATTATTTGCATGCAATCAAAAACTATTTTTAATAATGCCAAAGAAGTATAACTTCTTACGCGCGTACATACGTACACGCACCCTTTTTTCATTCATGAGTATCGTTTCTGAATCTCGCCCTCAGACTCTTATTCAACTAAAACCGAGAGTACAAGAAAGACTACGAATTTATAGCCCGCAGTCGCGGGCGTACCTAGTTTATTTATCAATACCTGATAAAGATAAACAAACTGTAAATACGTAGTATAAATTGAATGGAGAATGGATTAAATGCTTTAGTTGTAGGAAAGTTGTACTAAAGTGTTGACTTCGTAAAGCTTGTTTGTTTTAAAGGCAAAGTTAAATTTTTAATAAAGTTTTATTTTAACTAAACAAATGGGGCAATGCAATACTTTTTTATTACTAATAATAAGGAATTATTACATATAATATTTTTTTAGTTTTCTGTATTTATAAAAATATTTTTTTCTGATTATTATTTTAATCTGATTTTTATATCTTTTAGACTTATGGCACCCAATACTAGCAAAGATGTCATCGATGTCGATTTTAAGGATGCGGAAGAATCAAAATTGGAGAAATTGGTCGGTCCGCAGGCCGGGCCCTGGAAATATGAGATAATATATGGGCGTTTAGCTGTATTTGGATATTTTCACCTTGCGGCTTTGTATGGACTCTACCTCGCTTTGACTGCTGGACCAGCATGGTCTACGATTATTTTTCGTACGTATTTTTATATTTAATTGTTGCTATACAAGGAGCGCTCAAAAAGTCTGAAATATTCAAATATTTTACAAAATGCAATTTTAAATAATTGATTTTTTAATTTTCATACATAGTTTTTTAAAGATAATAATTAAAAAACCACATAATAAACCTTTTTCATCTATTATTAGTCCTGTTTAGCTATCTATTTATAAAAATAAGAAAGCTGCAATCTTTTTTGAATTTTCATTTAGTTTAAGTTATTATTGTTATTTTTATTTTATGTTTTTAGTTTTAGTTATTTTTAATAATTTTTTTTTGTTTTTCAGATTAGTTATGTAATTGATGTGTATGTGTGTTAAATTTGTGATGTCATATTTTCTTGTATTTTTTAGACATACACGTTATTTTAGGACGTATCAATAATAAATAAATAAAAAAGGTTCTTGCCTTTTTTGGGACCAGTTAAAACAACTAGTTAAAATCCGAAATAGTAACTACATTTAAGCTATAAATCCATAGTAATTATAAAAATCAAGTGCTTCATTTAAAAAATAATTTAATTCATTGAATACAATGAACAATAAAAAAATATATTTTAATTCGGCGAACTACCTGTGGTCTAAGATCCCGATATACAACGACCTTCACCGAGATGCTTATTTAATGAATAGTATTTTATATTTAATTTAATATGTCAATAAATATAATCCATATGGGTTGCCTAGCAAATTTCAGTCCAGAGTATGTTTAATTAATTTAAAAAAAATATATTTTTTTAAACATTTCACCGGTATGATTATTAGATAAATTCTATACCAATCGAAAGTATGAAGCCCATAGAATATGCAAATGTTAGGTTGTTTTTAATCAATTAATTATTTATGTGTATATTTTTTATGTGACACTAAAGTATATATACATCTTTAGTAAAAAAGAAGGTTATAGTGATACATATAT